CCCTTCGGGAAAGTTAGCATCAGTAAGTCCTGCCCTGCACTAGCAAAGTATTGGAAAACCCATTGTATCAGAAGGCTGCTCCTTCCAAGGCCAACCTGCCTAGGGAAGGTTGTTTATCTTGGCAGTCACACATCTTTATAGCAGCAATAAAACCACGCTGCCAAAGAGACCAACTGATGTATGGAGGGCTCTGAGGCACAGCCAGTGATCTTCCCAGACAGACACTGCTGAAGATGCGGGGAAACTGGAGAAGTGCTTTCACCCCAGTGGTCAGCGTGGGGATTCCTGGGCTCAAACAGGCTTTGTGTTCTGGGTGCAGTGGGCGACCTCGTCCAGATCCGCCTCCGCACTGACCTCTCTGCTCTGACCCCGCAGCCCAGCTGGGCTCCTCTTGACACGCCCGGAGACCAGGACTCTTTCTTCCTCCAATCCTGGCCACACGCTGCCCCCTTTATTCTATGCACATTATCTTGAACATGGTAGAGGCCAGCACCTTCCCTTCCTTCCCCTTGCCCTCAGAATTCTCTCTGAAATGTCTCTTTCCTTGTCCTCTCCCAACTTGGAAAGAAAGCCTTCTTCCTTCTCCACCCCTTGGTCTCTGCCCAGTGTCACCCCTACTTCAGCAACCCTCCCTTCTCTCTGCTGCCCGGCGCTGCTGACGGGAGTCTCTTGGGCCTCTGTGTCCCCTGCTGTGGAGCTGGGTGGCCTGGGCAATGCCCTGTCCCACCTGAAACAACTGAGTGAGCAGGCAAGCCACCTAACCTGAGCCTCAGTTTCCCCGCCTGTAAAATAAAGAGAATGGCAGTACCTATTCACAGCTATGATGATTTAATCACTGAAGGTACGTTAGTGTCATTATAGCTCTCTGCTCCTTCCCAATTTTTTTTACTGTTTTCTCATGGATGTCCAGCCTCTGCTTTTTTGCAGCTTGCCTTGACATTGGTACCTGATGTCATGACTGCGCCTGTCACTTCTATGTCTGACATTCCAGCTGTGGTCCCACAGGCACCTCACACGTGAGCCAAGCCAAACTCATCACGCCCTCCCTCAAGCCTGCCTGCCAGCCAGTTCCCAAGCAGCAGCGATAAGCACATATTGATCACCTCCTCTACGCCAAGCACTGTCTCACACACGTCATTTGCCATTTAATTCCCAATGTGGGAGGTTCCACTCAACAGTCACCCAACTTTGAAATCCCCGGGCCATTTTTGACAATTTCTTCTCTCCTGCATGGCTTGTTGGTTCTACATCATCGATGCCTGCTGCCCCGCACCTGAGCCCATCCTCAGCTAAGAAAGCCACACTCTTCACAACTCACCCGCATCTTCCCCTCCCTGCACTGCACAGCCACACTAACCAAGGCTCCCACGACCTGCCACGTGCCTGCCTTTCCTGCCACCGACTCTTTCCCTACACTGCGCCTGAGGCTGAAACACCTCTCCTTGTCCATACCCCATCTCTAAGTCCTAGCCAGTATTCAAAGACCCGGTCAACAGCCACTTCCTCTCTGGAGCCTCCTGATCTACAGCGCCAGGCTCCAAGGTTCTGGCGTCCTCAACGGGCCCTGCTCATTCCATACATCTGACTTCCCACCAGCCTGCACTCCCTGAAGGCAGGGCTGTGGCCTGATGCCTCTGATTTACCTGCTGTGTTTGGCTCAGAGCAGGGATGGGAAATGCCTGTGAATGAGCGAGTCAGAGTGAACTCAAACAGGTGTGGCAGTCAGCCCGGTGCCACCTGCTGGGCCTGGGGAAGTCACCAGGATGGCCAGCACAGAGTTAATGCCCAGGCCTCTTCTAATCCCCCAAAATCTGCCCTCTGGTGGTATTGAGGGCTTTCTGATCTGCATATTGATTAGGCTCTTACTGAAAACACAGACCAGATCGGGGAGGAATGAGTGCTGTTGGCCATCGGCCTCCAGGCTGGGACTTGGCCAGCAGGGCTCCCCGTGGGGCTCATGACTGTGCAAAGGGTAATGATGACTCTAAAAGGGAGGGTGCCTTTACAGGTGCCCGCTGTCAAGGCCACGTCCCACTGAACTCAGGCCAGCTCTTCCTTGTTTGCCAAGTGGCAGAGGCCCAGGAGGAAGAGTTTATGAGGGATACTGCTGTTCTGGACGCAATGGCAGTCAGTGCCAATGAAAACTCTCTCTGACCTCCAGCAACCCCAAATGTAAGCTGGCAAAGCCCTTCTGTATACCAATTTCACATGTACCACAAATCTTAAAAATGACCATAGCCTTTGACCCTCTCAGGAATCAAAGAGCCCACACATTTAGGGAAGTAATCCTCAATAAAGGCAATTCTTTATGGAAATGTTTGCTGACGACATCACTATTGTTAGAAGAGGAAAAACTGTAAACCACCTAAATGTTCATCACTAGAATGACTGTTAAATAATAAGTTTACTAAATCATAGCACTGGTTTCGACTTTTCAGTGTGTTAGGACCTTCATGTATAACATTATCCCATTCCATCCCAGATGCAAAATAGCTGCTATTATGCCTGCTTTGCAAATGAGTAACCTGAGGCTTGGCCATGTTAGGTGAGGCGTCCAAAGTTTCTTGACACTGGCAGAGAATTAGAAGCAAGTAGTCTACCTCCAGAAACTAAATTGTGACCACACACATCAGTCTCCTCAGTGTGTGTGTGTGTGTGTGTGTGTCTTTGCATGCGCGTGTCTATTTGATGGAATATTGCACATCCTTTAAAAATATTATCCATCTATTTTAAAATAATTTATATGCTATTTTAATAACAAAAATATTTGTTATAATGTTGAGCTAAAAACAGAATATGAAACTGCCTAGGTAATATGAATATAACCTCCTAAAATATTTAATCTATGTGTATAGAAAAGGAAAAGGAAATGTGTGTTAACAGTGATTGTAGCCCAGATGGTATAGCTCAGTGGTTGAGCGTCAGCCTATGAACCAGGAGGTCACGGTTCAATTTCCGGTCAGGGCACATGCCTGGGTTGCTGGCTCGATCCCCAGTAGGGGGTGTGCAGGAGGCCGCCAATCAATGATTTCTCTCTTATCATTGATGTTCCTCTCTCCCTCCCTTCCTCTCTGAAATCAATTAAAATACATTTTAGAAAAATAACCCAGGGATTACATTTGGGAGGAAGGGCATCTTCTCCCTCTATAGTCCATGCTCTGCATTTTCAGCCATGGGTCACCACCAATGGACAATCAGGCTTTAGTAGAACCACTGGCTTTATGTTTGCAAATCCGCCAAGTCGTGACCTGAGCTGCAGAGAAGCCGGAGGCTTCTGGCACTTGACTTTGGCACATGGGCGTAGTCTCCCATGGCTCAGTGTCACCACCCAGGAAGTTCATGGGCAATTCAGGGGTAATGCCACAAGCCATGAGCAATCCCACAAGCCCTGTTCAAGGCTGCTGGAAACGCCCCCCTCAGCCCAGTCACCATGCAGAGAGGGCCTGACCCAGAGCAGCGGCCACAACTTGCAGCCAGCCCCCGCCTGCACTGTGCTTTGGGCTGTGCGGTGTCATGTTGTGTTTGGCTTTGTTTTTAATGGAATTATCTAATAATTTCCAATTGAAAGACCCCACAGATAAATCTAGCTTTCTGCTGTCTCTTAAAAATCAAAAGATCCAGGCCCCATGGCAACTGTCAGCAGGACCTAGCCACTCCCTCGGATAGGATGTGGGCCCACCACTCCCCACCGCCTCCAGGTGCGCAAGCTGATACACTGCTTCAGCCACTGCCTTTCTAACAGCAGAGTGGTGTGGAAAGGGCAGGGCGTCTGTGTCCGTGCTAAATGGAAAGAGGAAAATGAAGCGTAGGCTAGGAGGGCTGTGGGTAGCAGCCAGTGGAAGAGGTTTCATTCTCCGCTCACTTCTGTTACCTCCCTGGTCCCAATGAGTCTGAGTTTTCTCCCTCTGGCCTCAAGGGTTCCTGAGCAACAGTTCAAGGCCAGTCCCGGCACCCTCCCGCTGGGCAGGGAGGGCAGGCTGAAGACCCGCTGGCTGGGCTGCTCCTGTGCCAGCTCTGGGAGCTCAGTCAGTGGGCGCACGGAGTCCACAGGGTCACACGCAGCAGGCTGCCGGGGAGAGGGGTCTTCTCCACGGGGGCAGTCAGCCCCGTTGGATGCCTGAGGTGACAGGAAGGGTCACGAATCCAGCCCTCCCATTATACAGAGCGGGAGGCTGAGCCTAGGAAGGGGCAGTACCTTCCCTGAGGAGACAGAGTGAAATCAGAGCCAAGACCCAAACTCCAAGGTGCTGAAATTTGTCTTCTAAGACCCCCAGCTCATCCTTTTAGAGCCGGCACCTTCTCCTCAGCACAGGAAGTGCCTCCCGGTACCTTCCCTCCTCCTTGGTCAGAACCACTCCCAGGAGAAGATGCGGGAGCCTCTCAGCAGGAGGAAGTGACAGGTGCAGGAGTGGCCACAGGGCACACCAAGAAACGAAGCTTTCACTGGAGTGTCAGGGGCGAGGAGAGCAGCAGTCCCCTCACGCCCCTGCGGCCTGTCCGGGTGCGAGGCACAGGTACATGGGCAGGTGTGGCTTGGAGACCTATGCCCCCAGCCTGGCTTACTGCTCTGCTGTTACCCTTTTTCAATTCTTAATGATTTTGAACAAGGATCCCACATTTTCCCTTTTCACTGGGCGCTGCAAATTGCGTAGCTGGTCCTCTCTCACAGAGATCAATCGTGTCCCCGAATTAGTGCCTTGACCTCTGGGAGCCTCAGTTTTCTCCTCTGTAAATGGAAAGGGTGATAGCATCTGCCTCACAGAATGGCCATAAAGACGAATTAAGGGAACACAAGCAGAGCTCTCAGCAGTGCCCAGCACGTGGTAAATACGTAACCAGTGAGAGTTCCTATCCAGGTAAAGGAATAATAATGACAGACTATTACATGACCACATAGACGCCCTGCTCAATAGAAAGAATGCTATCCCCGCACCCCAAATCTGGCAAATGAGGAGGGAGTCACAGGTGCCCAGACACCAGGCCCCTCCCAGGCCTCTTACTTTCCCGAAATGCCTGTGTTTGCATCTGCAGGCGGATCTTGATGAGGTCCACAGGCGTGCCCAGTCCGACGGACACCACGCCGGCCACCATGCTGGCCAGGAGCAGGTCTGACAGGGTGTGGGGCGGGCTGGCCTCAGGCTCCCTGCTGTGGAGCTGGCTGAGGAACCTCTGCGTGTTACTGAAGACCCCAAACACCACCGAGTTGTACACGGCGATGCTGGCCAGGGGGAAGGACATGCCCTTGAAGAAGCCGAACACCTGTGGGGAAACCGGGAGAGGCAGCGTGAGAACTGCAGGCGGCGCCAAGCTCCCCACACTGTCCGGGGCACAGACCTGCCCTCCCGCAGGCTGGTGGGGAGACATAAATCCATGTGCCAGTGAAGAGGACACAGGCAGATGCAAATGTGGAAGGAGATGGTGGTGAGGACATTCCTGCCCTGAGGAGAAACCAGTTTCTGCGTAAAGTCTTGTTGACAGAGGGTGTGTCCTGGGCCTGTAACCAGTATTTGCCCCTGGATGCTGTGACAGGAAGGGACTGGCAGCTGTCTTAGGCAGTGTCTGAGGGGTCTGTGGAGCCCTAGTGGGTAAGTGGGCTTGCCAAGCATCACACACACCCTCCTCATTGCCACTCCCAGGAAAGCATTCTCTGGGCACTTGCCACACACGTGCCAGGCACTGGGGCCAACAATAAGAAGGAAAGTTTCCCTGAGTTCAAGGTCTGGGGGCGGAGTGGGGGAGGGGTGAATCTGGATGGACAAAGCCTATATAATAAAGAGGTGATATGCAAATTGACTGTCACACCCTCACAAGATGGCTGCCTACAACCAGGCCAGCAGGGGGGTTAGTGAGGGACAACTGAACAGCAGGCTGCATGGGGCGACCAGGCCAGCAGGGGGGTTAGTGAGGGATGACCAAACAACTGAACAGCAGGCTGTGTGGGGCAACCGGGGGGGAGGGGGGCAGTTAGGGGCAATCATGCCGGCAGGCAGGTGAGTCATTAGTAGCCTGTGGTCCAGGATTGTGAAAGGGATGTCCGATCCCTGGGGGTCAGACAACCCCCAAGGGGCCCCAGATTGGAGAGGGTGCAGGCTGGGCTGAGGAGACCCCACCCCCCCACCCCCGCCATGCACGAATTTCATGCACCGGGTCTCTAGTGAAACTGTAATGTGCTATGCTGTGGTGAGGGACTAAGAAGAGGTGCCACAGCCCCCAGGGACACCAGGGCCAGCCTGCAGATGGGTGCCCCTGATCAGGGGTGTCTCTCAGAAGAAGAGCTCAAGGAAAGAGCCCCAGGAAAAACAGCATGGAAAGGCTTCTGCATGCAGGCAGGACACTGGAGGCTGCGGAGAAAGTCCTTCAGACTGTAAGCTCGGTGAACAGCACAGCTGCTCTGCAGACACGGGAGATCCCATAGCCTTGGAGGAGTCAGGGAGGTGGCTGAGCCCCACCCCACGCCCAAGGTGAAAATCCTGGAAGCCGTCGCACAAACCCAGGCCTCATGAGGACCTGCTAATCCCAAACGCGTGCCTGCACCTTATGTGCCAGAGATAGGACACCTCCCACATGCACGTTGGCTCACACATGCAGCAGACACACACACACGCACACACACACACATGCCCTGCTTCCCCTCTTCCTCAGGTCACCTGGGGCATTGCTAAGCCCTGAGCCGCTGTGTCTCAGAGGAACATCCATGGTCCCCACAGAAACCATGGAGCTGACACTGGCTGGCAGGCACGTGGGGAACATGTGCCAACAGGGAGAGTCAACAACCACTCCCCGGGCACGGAGGGATTGCGCATTAGCCTGGAACAGTCAGTACCAGGCTGGTCGGACTCGCCCAGTTCTAAAGCAGCCTATCAGAGAGATAGAACAACACCCTGACACAGGACACACTTGATCTGAGGAGAAGCTCCAGGTGCGGGCGGAGGCCCCCCAGCTCCAGGCCACGTCCCACGGGGACAGTGGTCAACAATGGGGCCACATTTCTGGTGACTCGAAGACAAGCCTGGGACTGCCATGGGGCTAACACCTGGCCATTGCTTTAAATCAACAGGTCATGTCATCCTAAATTTTACAGTTTATTTTAAATCCCCCAAAAAGAGGCCTTAGATAGTCTCCCTAAAGCATCCGATAATTCTCAAGAAGGGCACCTGATGCATCTTCCATAAAACATTATTCAGCCTTTCTCCATTTGCAAAGAAAGATCTTGGGGGCCTCGAGCTGTGGTTCAAGCCAGCCGTGGGCGTGTGATGGCGCAGCGCCTGGCTCCAGCGCTGGATGAAAGGAAGCCTGTGAGCACATGGTGCCAGCCACTCACTCGGTTTTGAAAACCTGACAGGTCACCCTGTTTCTTGCAGGAATTTTCCACACTGTGTGAATTTCTCCAAAGCAGTTATACAAAACCAGGTTTTTTCTCCCATAGCATCACACGAGGTGGCAGGGTTAGGTGGTGTGAGCTGGTCAGGGAAAATGGAGCTAAATGTGATGAATGGGAACAGACGGGCCTCCACCCAACCTGCAGGTGGCAGGGCTGTGGCCACGTCCCCAGGCCTGGATGGGCTTCACCCCATTCTGTGGGAGGCCCTGGTGGGTGTGGCTCCAGCGCCCACCCGCCCGCCCGCCCAAGGGGCACTTACACTCTCCTTCCTGTACACCATGCGGATGCAGCTGAGCGTGTTCCCATAGCCCACGCCGGCCTGCAGGCGAGTCTGCAGAGAGAGGCAAGGGGGTGAGGCCAGGGAGAGGTGCTGAGCGTCCAACACTGGGGCCCCCAGCAGGAACGAAGGCCCTGCCCAAAGTGATCCTGGCAGGAGGGAGGGCTGGGCTCGGTCTTGGACAGGCTGGCCCTGTCCTCCTCTGGGCGTCCCATGCAGACCTTCTCCTGGTCCAAGAGAAGAACAAAGGTCGGTTTGTTGAACAAACATGATGCTTGTTGGGGACGTCTGATCCCTGCCTCGGGTACAAAAAGCTAACTGGTGTTGTGGCTCTGTCTGTCACTCTGCCCTCCCAATATTCCCGGGAAGTGACCTGCTCCTCTCACCTCCAGAGCCCTTCACCTCTCACCGGCGTGATGGCCTGGCCCCTCCATGGCCCCTGCTCTCCCTCACTCCTGACACAGTCAGACTGATCTCTGATGGTCTGATGAATTGTGTCACTGCTGCTTATGGCTGTCCAGGGGCCTCCTATCAACTTAGAATAGACTCTGTGTTTAGTCCGCACCCAGGAGGCCTGGGTGAGTGCACAAACCTATCTCGCACCCCACCCTGACATTTCCTCCATCCTCTGCCTCTGCCCCTCCGTGCACATTCCCTGAAGCATCGGTTTTTCCCGCCTCCAGAACTTTCCACCTCTGTTCTTACCCCAAAGGCTCTTCCTCCAGCACCTGCTCATCTTTTTGGTCTGAGTTCAATGTTGCCATGGTAACATTTGTTTGCCTGTTTACCGAGGGTTTGTTTGCACGCCTCATCTCCTACTGCCCTCTTGTCCTGGAGCCAAGTGGGCCCTTGCTTCTGGCCCCTCTGCACTGTCTGAGGTGGAAGGTGTAGTGTCCTCTAATGGGGGCTGGCCATGGTGACCAGGGGCATCATGAGGGTACAGAGGGTCTGAATAAGCCCATGAAAGTGTCCAGGGCGCCCTCTATCCTGGTCTCAGAGGGTTCTACTTCTTTTAAGATGTGTGGCCTATAATTCCCCATTACAATACTTCTTGCCCTGGCCGGGTTTGCTCAGTAGTTAGGGCATCAGCCCTCAGACCAAAGGGTCTTGGGTTTGATTCCTGGTCAAGGGCATGTACCTCGGTTGTAGGTTCCCTTGCCCTGGTACACACTGCATCAGCATAAACCATAAATGTACCTGCTGTGCCAGGAGCCAGGTGAGAATCCAGGCCCCAGCCCCACTGTCATCAAACAGCAGTGACAAGGAAGCTGCAGGCAGGGCAAGGAAACTTTGACCCAACTCAGCACCCAGGTAGGTCTCCTTGCTTGGCTCTCCCATGGGCCAGTCTGGGGCTTGAGACACATCCCAGCGTATGGCCCACTCATTGCTCTACCCTCAGTGCTTTCTGCCCATTTCACAGACGAGGGCACCAAGGCTCAGGGAGATTAAGTGCTGTGCCGTGGTCCCAGGAGAGTAGGTAGGGAGGCTGGACTGGACTAGGGCTATTCTGACTCTGAAGCTCTGCCCAGACCTTTGTCAGTGGAAGGGAATCTAGAGAAAATGTCAGCCAGAGGAAAGAAGGAGGAGGATGTTTTGGGGAGAAATGGCCCTGGGACACCCCCTGGGCTGGACCCAGAGGCTGGCCATGTAAGCTGGCATCACCAGGCTGCACCCAGCAGGGTGGTTCTCAGGCTGAGCAGACACTGGCTTTTACGAATCAGAAAGGGTCCCCTCCAGATGCTCAGGGGACAGAGTGAAGAGAGGAGGAGAGCTCCAGCCTTTTCAGGTGACATGTGGCCAGACCTGCCTATGCAAGGGGGGATGGAGGTTCCAACAAGGCCCACCCACCCCTGGCCAGCCTGGGGCAAGGGAAAGACACTCTCCCAGGAGACGCAGAGCGTCTGGAATTATAGGCTGGCAGGGTAGGGTGCGACGTAGGCTTGGGAGCTCACCCAGGCCTCCTGGGTGCTGACTAAACCCAGCCTTACATTATAGGCTGGAAGGCCCACAGGGCAGGGCTTGCACTTGCTTGGTCCAACACCAATGCCTTGCCATCCCCACGGCACCCACACAAAGTGGTTGCTGTGTGAGCAGAAGGCAGAGCCCGAATGAGGAACACGAGGAGTCAAGAAGGATCCTCCACTATTTAAGACAAGTAGACGAACCTCCCATCCAAAGGGAACAGGCCTGAGCTCTGACCTAGGAGGGCCCCTGTCACACAGGGAGGGGAGGGGGGACGCAGGGGCAGCAGCCCTGTGAGAAGGGCCTCGAGGCTCCTCTTTGTGTGTGACCCGAGCAGAGCTTTATATTTGGATCTGGATGTCACTGTTTGTGGCCATGCTCCCAGAGTATGGCTCTGAGTCCTGCTCGCCACTGGGGACAGGTGGTAGGGGTGGGAGTGGAGTCAAAAAATGCTCCTCTTCCCCTGTCGCCGCAGAGTTACGCAGAGGCGGAGGCTTGGGTGCGTTCAAGATTCGGCTCTACCCATAACCCACTGCCATGGCCGAGGAAGGCATGGCTGCTGGGGGTGTAGTGGACGTTAATACTGCCCTGCAAGAGGTGCTGAAGACCGCCCTCACCCACCACGGCCTAGCGCGGAATTCTTGAAGCTGCCAAAGCCTCAGACAAGGGCCAAGCCCCCCTTTGTACGTGCATCCAGCTGTGATGAGCCTATTACGTCCAGTTGGGGGAGGCTCTTTGTGCTGACACCAATCACCCTAATTAAGGTTGAGGACAAGAAACTAGGGGAATGGTGGCCTCTGTAAAGTCGACAGAGAGGGAAACACCGTAAAGTGGTTGGTTGCAGCTGCGTGGTGGTTAAGGACTATGGCAAAGAGTCTCAGGCTAAGGGTGTCATCAAGGAGTACTTCAAATGCAAGAAATGAACAAATAAACTTGGCTTTTGTTTATTAAAAAAAAAATGCTCCTGCCCGGCCGGCATTGCTAGTGGTTGAGCATTGACCTATGAACCAGGAGGCCATTGTCCTATTCCCGGTCAGGGCACGTGCCTGAGTTGCAGGCTCTATCCCCAGCGTGGGGCTTGCAGGAGGCATCCAATCAATGATTCTCTTCATTGTTGATGTTCCTAGCTCTCTCTCTCTCTCTCTCTCTCTCTCTCTCTCTCTCTCCCTCTCTGAAATCAATAAAAAAAATATTTTTTAACAAGTGCTTCTTGTAGTAGCTCACTCCTTGCTATGTGACCTGAGGCCAACCCTCCCTGCTCTGAGCCAGCTTCTACATCTGTGGACCTAGGGGCTGAGTGACCCCATGCCAGATGGCCCTGCTGGCTCCAGAGTCCTCACACCACATGAGCTCCCTCAGCTCCTAACGGCTTCCCCTTCCCAGCCCAGGTCCAGAGTCCTACCCTGACACCCAAGGCCTCCGAGGGCTGAGTGCTGACCTCCCAGTCCTGGCTTCAGATCCGCAGCTGCTGTCAGAAACCTGGTGTGTCAGCAAACTGGCTGTGCCGGTCTTTCCCAGGTACGCCCCGCGAAGTGTCCCCAGCTCAGTGCCTCTTTTTCATCACCTAGTACGCAGCCTTACATTTGGGGCTCAGAGGCTAAGTCACACTTGAAGTCTTTCCTGGTTCCTTAGTCCCCAGGGGCTTATAGGACTCTCGCCAGTGCCTTCCCCCACCCCCACAGTTCATGAGAGCCTAGAGGCAGAAACGAGACATTCGTCAAAACAAAATCACTGCCAAGCAATGAGGGTAGAGCCATTCCAAACCAGGCCTCCTGGCACCATACCCCCATGAACTGGCACAGAGAGCCTGCCGTAGGCTGGAGACGGGATCAGACACAGCAGGCAGACTCACTCCAGGCCCTTTCCAAGAGGTAATGATGAACAGGGCCATCGTACCTTGACCGTGTCCAGAGGGTAGCCAACAATGACACTGGCTGCACCTGTAGATGGAAGAAGAATACCTGGTCACTCAGCCTGCACTTGCACTTGCTGGCTCTTGGGATAGGACAGAGGGCTCAGGCACTTACATTCACTTATTCTAGCAATGCCCACTCACCAGAGAGGCCTCGCAATGTGCTAGGCACTGGCCAAGGCATGGAGAAAGGCAGAGAAAAAGTGGACCAAAACCCGGTTCTGCCCTAAGAAACAAGCGCACCCTCCCCACCCCCCACAAAGGGCAGTGAAGGTGCTGGGATAACTGGATATTTACATGCAAAAGAATGAAGTTAGACACACTAGCTCCTACCATATACAAGATTAACTCAAAATAGAACACAGACCTAAATGGAAACCTTAAAACTATAAAAGCCACATACTAAAACACAGGGGGAAATCTTCATGACCTTAGATTTATAGTAGATTCTTAGATATGACACCAAAGGCACAAGTAACAAATGAAAAAAATAGATAAATTGAACATCATGAACATTTTAAACTTTTGTGCATCAAAGGATACTATTAAGAAAATGAAGTCAACCTACAGAATGGGGGGAAATATTTACAAACCATATGTTGATAAGAACCTAGTATCCAGAATATGTAAAGAACTCTTACACCTTAAAAAAAATGGGCAAAGGACTTGAAGTAACATTTCTCCGAAGAAGAGATGCAAATGACTAACAAGTACAGGAAAAGATGCTCCACATCATTAGTCATTAGGGAAGTGCAAATCAGAACCACAGCGAGATCCCCTCCACACCCACTAGGATAGCTACCATTTAAACCAAAGAAGAGGAAAGTACATGTCATAGAGTATATGAGGAAATTAGAACTCTCATACATTGCTGGTGGAAATATAAAATGGTGCATGCCTTGCCGGCGTGGTTCAGTGGTTGAGCGTCGGCCTCTAAACCAGGAGGTCACGGGTTCGATACCCACATGCCCAGGTTGCGGGCTCGATCCCCAGTGGGGACATGCAGGAGGCAGCTGATTGATCACTGATTCCCTCTCATTATTGATGTATCTATCTCTCTCCCTCTCCCTTCCTCTCTGAAATCAATAAAAATATATTTTAAAAAATAAAACTTAAATAAAAATAAAAAAGAAATATAAAATGGTGCAGCCACTGTGGAAAACAGTGTGGCAGTTCCTCAGAAAGTTAAATATTGAATTACCAAATGACCCAGCAATTCCATTCCTAGGTAAATATCCAGAAGAAATGAAAACAGGCACTCAAACAAGTACATGTGCACACATGCTCGTAGCAGCACTATCCACAATGGGCAGCAGGTGGAAACAGTCCAATTGCCCATCACTGGATGAATGGGTAAACAAAATGTGGTCTACCCATACAATGGGATGTTATTAGGTATAACTAGGAATGAAGTTCTGATACAGGTCACAGTGTGGGTGAACGTTGAAAACATGAAAATAAAGAGGCCAGACTGATTCCACTTATATGAATTATCCAGAATAGGTAAATCCATAGAGACAGAAAGCAGACTGGCAATTGCCAAGGCTTGGGGAAGGGGAAATAGGAGTGGCGGCATGGGTCCAGGGGCTTCTTTGGGCCTGAGGAAAATGCTCTGGAACTAGATAGAGGTGATGGTTACAGGGCACTGTGAATGTACTAGATGCCATGGAATCGCACACTCTAAAACGGCTAATTTTATGTTATGTAAATTCATCTCAAAAAAGGGGGAGGATATGAAGAGAAAACCTAGAGACTTTTCAGTTACCTGCAGGTTATTTAACTTAAGCTGTGTAGGTGGAAATAATATTAGCACCTGTGTCACAGCCCCACTGCAAGAGTAAAACGAGGTTATGAATGTAAGTGCCAGCAAAGAGCCTAGCACTTACAGGACATTCAAAAAGAGATGCTGCTGCTATTGATTTCATTATTTTATTTTTAGAGAAGGCCTCTTTGAAAAGGTGATGGATACTCTGGGTCTTTTCACAGGAAAATGCCTACCCATACACATTCACAAGACTGGAACCATTTTGGAGGGAAGGTTCCTCTGAGGTCATGTAGCTTTAGCAGCCCTTATTGGAGAAGTCAGTGGTGATGAGATTGAAACAGGAGCCTAAGACAAATTCTTCATCACAGTGATGAGGAAGAAAGTGTCTCGGCTAGAAAGTGTCTCTGCTCACCGGGTAAGGTAGGAAAGGGGTACTAAAATATGAGATATTTACAGGGAGAGAAACCAGCTCTTGCCTAGAACCTCCTGATCCTTCACAGCCTCTGCTTCCCACAGAATTGGGCAGAAGCAGAAAGGTGATGGACAGCTGGGAGCTGGAACATTCACTCCACATGAACCCTTCCCAGCGGGGAAGGAAGGAGTCTGGTCCTCAGGCTCCAGCTGCTCCCTACCCCAGTGAATGCATCCTTCACTATGGGCATCATTCAGGACCACGCCCCAGATCCAGCCCTGGGCCAGCATCTCCCTGTTCCTTTAGCTGGCCCATCTGAAAGCAGTGGTGCAATATAAGAAATCAGACTATCAGGCCGTGGGACTCTACAGACCAGTACAATTTCAAACAAAATGTGAAGGATGTAATGGTGAAATTTTACCATGCGAGGTCATTAAGAAAACAGCACAGACAAGCACAGGGGTTAAAATGGCCCTGATGCCAGACTGCCTGGGTTATTCCAGTGCTCACGCCACAGGAGGGCCTTGGGAAAGCCACTGAATTTCTCTGTGTGTCCTCATCTGTAAAATGGGGATGTAATAATCGTAGCTACCTCACCTAGAATAATAAAAGGGTAATATGCTAATTAGACCGTATGTCTTCCGGATGTCATTCTGGATGTCCTTCCTGATGAAGCCAGGGCTGGAGGGAAGCCAGCCTGGGTCCTGGGTGCCTGAGGGTGGCCCGAGGGAAGCCAGCCCAGGTCCTGGTGCCTGCTGGAGGCCGGAGGAGGGAAACCTGGGTCCCGGGTGCCAGAGGGAAGCCAGTGCCGGCAGCCGGGGGAAGGAAGGCCTACTCTTGAACGAATTTTTGTGCATCGGGCCTCTAGTTGGAATTATAAAGAAATATACATAAACAGACACAAGACCACATATTTTTGGTTCCATTAATATAAAGTGTCCAGAGGAGACTAATTTATAGAGCCAGGAAGTAGGTTTGTGGCTGCCCAGAGGGTAAAGGAGGGGATGGGGTTTAACTGTAAATGGGTACAAGGATCTTACACGGGGTGAAAATGTTCCCAAACTAATTTATGGTGATGGTTTCCCAACTTGGTGAAGTTATTAACAATCACTGAATTGTACACTTGAAATGGGTGAATTTTATGATATGTAAAATAACCTTAAAGTTATTTTAAAAATATACACAGAGCACTTAGCACCTGGTACCCACTAAGTATTCACTGTTACTACACTCACCATTTCATGGAAGCACAAAAAGTTAACATCAACAAAATACGCACATTTACAGAATAAAGGGCACTCCACCACTTGCTGTGTGCACTGGGGAGGGTCTCCGTGTCATCAGGGACTTATAAAGGGCACTCCACCACTTGTGTGTGCACTGGGGAGGGTCTCCGTGTCATCAGGGACTTATAAAGGGCACTCCACCACTTGCTGTGTGCACTGGGGAGGGTCTCCGTGTCATCAGGGACTTATAAAGGGCACTCCACCACTTGTATGTGCACTGGGGAGGGTCTCCGTGTCATCAGGGACTTATAAAGGGCACTCCACCACTTGTGTGTGCACTGGGGAGGGTCTCCGTGTCATCAGGGACTCGGAGCTCCTCTGACAGCGTTAGGCTCCAGGGGGTTTCTACACCAAGCCTCCAGCAGCCCTGCTGAAGCTGTCTGGCTGGAGGGAAGCGGCGGAGGGAAACCTTTCCCTGGGAATGGCTGAAGGGCTGTCTAAAGAGGGCCTCCAGGTGCAGCCCCCCAAGTGGGAAAATTAGGAGAGGCAGGTCTCAGCCAACCCGAGAGAGCCAGTGTCAGCTTAGAATTGCCCACCCTGAAAGGAGCCACCTCTGCTCAGGAAGGTGAGAAGCAGGTGCCTGCAGCCATCTGTGGGGGGCAGTGTAGATGCCTCCTAGGTGGGAGGGGGGTGCCAGAAGGGGAAGGACCTGGGATGCTATCTGGCCTGTTGCCCGCTCCCCTCCTTCTCTGTTTCCTACAAATCTCCTGGTCTCCTCCATACCTAGAATGCTTGCGGGGGGGGGGGGGGGGCGGATGGGGGGGGGTCACAAAGGCACCATATCCTCTGCCTCAGCACCTCAATATTTATTTTGTCTTTGGGGAGGGGCTGCATTTGCCAACATCCCTTTGCCGATGGTCCTCTTAGATGGGACCACAAGGGAGATATTTTACAGTAAGTCCCTCAAACCTTCCCCCATATTCCCACTTACATCTGAGAAATGGAGGGACTGACCTATCGGGAAGAATGGAGAAGGAAATGGATGAATCTCCTGAGCAAGCAAACGCATCTCAGACCCAGCAGAGCGTGGCTCCTGCAGGGGTACAAGGGACCACAGTGCCAGGAGGGGGGCTCTGACAGTTGACAGCGGCTGAAGAGGGGAGGGGTTCCTACTATCGGCTCCCTCCAGCCAGGGCACCCCTAGGACCAGCCTGATCACGCAGTGGGGCTTCCCATTCTGCGCAGGGCCAGAGGCCAAGCGCCACCCTCACCCACAAGTTCCTGCGAGCCGCGTCCCCAAATTCAGGTGCGCCCCGGGCCACCAAAGGGTGTGCACGCGCCGAGACGCTCCATTGGCTGTCGGCTTAATCATTACCGGACCAAGCTCCGCGGATCCTAGCTTGGAGGCAACTCGGGAGCTCAGGTGAACCTCAGTGAGCTCAGGTGAACCTCAGTGAGCTCAGGTGAACCTCCGTGAGGCTCGCGGAGTTCAGGCGGGCAGCCCGTGGGGAACTCAAGGTCCCAAGTGCGGGCGGCGGGCTCTCCCCGCAGCAGGTGGCGCGCGCGGCGCGGGCAGGACCGCAGGCACAAGAGCACCCTGGTCCGGCCCGGGGTGTAAACTCAGCCCACGCGGCTCCCGGCTCGCCTCTTTCTGTCTCTCGGACCCGGGGGCCTCCCTAAAGCACACACACCTCTTGGGGGCCCCTCCCATCCATGGTGGGCTCACCTCCGATCCAGCCCGCCGCAAAGTCTTCCAGCTGGAAGCTGCCCATGGCCGGGGCCGCGGCAATGCGACCGCCTGGGCCGGGTCGGTGCCCATTCAATGTGTGAGGGGCGTGGCCCGCGGGAGGGGCGCTCGGAGGAAGAGGAGGAGGAGGAGGAGGAGGAGGAGGAGGAGGATAGCAGAGCTCCCAGCGCCGGCGGCGACGCCCAGCCCGGCCTCCAGCCGACAGCACGCCCCCAGCGGACCTTAAAGGCGCAGCAGGCAGGCGGGCACCGCGCACCCCAGGGGAGATGCCAAGGCCGGGGCGACTCCCTGAGTCCCACCTTCTCCCGCGGACCTCTCCCTTGCACCTGCAGGACCTGGGCGCCTTGAGGCAACGGTGTCCGCTGGTGCCTGTAATTGTTCACATCGCGTGGGACACTGGGAGGAATTCAGGGACATTTTTGCAAAGTTCATTACAAGAGGGAGGAAAGGATGCTATATGGTCAGGAAGACTCATCCTCTTTTAAGCTAAAACAGCACTGAAATAATTCTTTTTTTTATTTTATTTGCTTCTAGGCTTTTTTTTATTGCTTAAAGTATTACAAAGGGTATTACATATGTGTCCTCCCCCCCCCCCTCTTGACAATCCCCTGGCCTCCCCTACCCCCACTGTCTTATGTCCATTGGTTATGTTTATATGCATGCATACAAGTCCTTCGGTTGATCTCTTCCCCCCCCTCCCTCCTGCCCCCCAACCCTCCCCTGAAATAATTCTAAATGTCCAACTAAACCAGACTTCTTGAGTTGGTTGAAAGCCAGGGGGCAGTTTCGCTATAAAAAACACAGGACACGCAATGTTCCACGCCATTTTAGAGGTTAGGGGCGCCACCCCAGGCTGCTCACCACATCTTCCCATAGCCTCCAGGTGTCAGGAACCTATCTATTCACGAAACACTGACATAACGTGTGGAAAGCACCCAGTCCGGGGTAGGCTCCAAGACAGCTCTAAATAAGTACTGTGACTAACAGCCGCAGTTCCTGCGCACTTTAAACCATGCCCACGCACTGGGCCTGGGCTGCTCCCACAGCAGCCCTGTGAGGCGGGGCTGTCCTGACCCCCATTCCGAGGTAGGAAAGTGCCTGTTCAGTGTATATAATGTGTGTGTGATCTATAGACTTGAATCTTTCAGAAAACTGGCCCAAATTAGGTGAAAGCTGTCACCCCTGAGCTGTAGGCTTAGCTGTGTGAGAACAGCCGAGCTTCTGCCCAAGGACCTGGCTGTCTCCGTGGAGAGCCCAGGAGAGCCCACACCCAGACTGAAGGCCCTGCAGGAGGCGCACAGCCCCTGCTGAGAGCACGCTGGCCCGGTGGGAGCTCCCAGACCCCGAAAATTCTCAGCCCGTCCCTGGCCAGGCCTTAAGGAGGGGTGAGGCTAGTCTGGAAATTTCCTTTGACAGCTGCTTGGGTGTGGGTTTGGGTGGACAGACAGCACACTGTGCCTTGCAGGTCCCAGAATCCATGGGGCCCACTCACCCTCCACCGCTCTGGGCCAACTCCTGCCTGGTACAGACAAGCAGGCTCCAAACCATTCTGCCACCTTGTCTGAAAAACTTCCTACCACCCCCTCCCTCCACCCCTACCCCTACACACACCCCTGCCTCTCTACCTGCCTGCTCCAGACAAGCAATGGAGCTGCTTGCCAAGGATATCCTCAAGCCGAAGCCTGTGCTGCAGGCTTTACGCACGGCCCCACTCCCTCCTCCCAGCAGCTGTGAGCTAGCACCAGGATCACCCCACTGATGGTCAGTGTTGTGTGTCACCTCGGCTGGGTGACAGTCCCCGGTGATTCAATCAAACACTAATATAGGTGTTGCTGGGGAGGTATTTTGTAGATGTGGTTTAATCTACAGCCAGTTGACTTTAAGGAAGGAGCTTACCCTTGAAGCTCATCTTGGGCTTCATCTAATCAGAAAAAGGGCCTCAAGAGCAAAGGAGATTTCCCTGAGGAAGAAGACACTCCCCCTGTGGAATGCAGTGACTTGCCCAGCCAGTCCCCACAATACATACACACCCTGGTTCCAGGCTACAGCAATAAAATGAGTCAACATTTTTGCTGGTGGAAGGGGTTGCCTTCAGTGTGTAAAAGACGCAACATGCTGAAGTGCAACAAAATGAGGTGTGCCTGTGTCTCCTACGGTTCTGCTTCTCCGGTAGAGCCCTGACTGTGTTCACTTATGAGACAGACATGAGGAGACCCAAGGCTCAGTGAGGCTGTGAGACCCTATCAGTCAGGACGGTCAGTCCCACAGCTGTGAGATGGGCAATTCTAGGGACAACCTAGTCCAGCCGTGGGCAAACTACGGCCCGCGGGCCGGATCCGGCCCGTTTGAAATGAATAAAACTAAAAAAAAAAAGACCGTACCCTTTTATGTAATGATGTTTACTTTGAATTTATATTAGTTCACACAAACACTCCATCCATGCTTTTGTTCCGGCCCTCCGGTCCAGTTTAAGAACCCATTGTGGCCCTGGAGTCAAAAAGTTTGCCCACCCCTGACCTAGACCTTGCTCTTGTTCCCTCTGACCTCCCCCCACACCTCTCATCCTCCCCCCCTTCCCCATCCAGCTCCCCCTCCTGCAATGGCGCTTGCTGGGTGCTCACATTCCTGGGGCCTGTGAGGATGGTGCTGATCCCAGCCAGCCGTGGGCTCTCTTCCCCATCCCAACTTTGGGCAGTGATGCTTGTTGCTCTTGTTCGCTGCAGAAGGGGCACAGCCGACAGCACGTCAGGCGGAAATGTAAGAGCGTGAAAGTTCCTGGAGGCCCAGGGTCAGGCCTAACTTTCAGGTAAGTTCTCCAGGGGCCCAGCTCCCTCCAGGCCCAGGCTCAGCCTACACTGTCTACCCTGGGCCACCCTGGAAGAGGGCTGGTCCTCTCCCCCTCAAACTCTCTCTGTAGACAGGGGCTGCCCCCAGCTAGGCCCCGGCTGGAGGTCCCTGCTCGCTGGGGGTACATGGCCTGGTGGCCTGGCCAGAGGAAGGTGCTTTGGCCCAATGGGAGCTCCCTGCACTCCCTCTGAGGAGCATGACTTGATGTCCTTCACTGTCCTGCTAGTCTCCAGCGGGGACCCGCCCTGGCACCCAGAGTTGTAGAGAATGGTGAGGGGTATGGTCTGGAGGAACGGGCCTGTGCTGGGCCCGCTCTTTTCCCACTGGCACATGCATGACACATCTTCCAGGCTGTCACACGGCAGCAGCCAGCCAGGCCTCCTCCATCCACAGAAAGACAGAATGCGACCACTGAGGCTGCTCCTAAAAGGGCTGAGAGGCCTGCTGGGGAGGTGATGGGGCAGGGGAGGGGAGGAGGTCATCACCGATGCCCAGGCTCTGCCATGCCATGCTGGGGTATGTGCTGAGACAGTTATATAAGAAATTAAGGGGCCCTAACCGGTTTGGCTCAGTGGATAGAGCGTCAGCCTGCAGACTCAAGGGTCCCAGGTTCGATTCTGATCAAGGGCATGTACCTTGGTTGCAGGCACATCCCCAGTAGGGAGTGTGCAGGAGGTGGCTGATCGATGTTTCTCTCTCATCGATGTTTCTAACTCTCTATCCCTCTCCCTTCCTCTCTGCAAAAAAAAATCAATAAAATATATTTTAAAAAAAGATAAAGGAAAAGAAATGAAGGGTCTCCAAAGAGTGGCCCTTTTTATCAGTTGACAGTTGGAAGGAATGCGTAGGTGGGAAGTCCGCCAGTTCTCCAAGTTCTTCTCTTCTGGTGGACCCCTTAATGGGTGCCAGGCAGATTGTCATTCCCTGAGTCCCGTGTCAGCATGGGACCAATTGGGAAGGTTCTGAGCTGTCAGTCAGTGACCTGGCAACCCTGGGATGGAATCCTGAGCCCAGAAAGCTGCTGCTTGTCCTGCTAATGAGCTGGAGCTGAGAGGAAGGATGGCTCCTTTCCAGAGTGAGCCACTGCGCTCCATTCCTAATGTGCGCCCTGAGGCTGCCCGAGAGGCACAGCACCCGAGGGAGACTGCGCTCCCTCCTCTTGCCTTTCTCAGGGCCACCCTCTACCCCTTTCAGGCCTTGCAAAGAGGCCTCTCCAGACCCGTCAGCCAAGGTCAAGACCTCGTTGTCCCTGCACTGACCTCAGACAATGGGGGCTCTGAGATCCCTTTCCTGAGTCCCAGGGGAAGGAACGTATATGATGATTTTCAAGGTGCTATATGAGCTTCTTACTGGGGGCTGCATGCCTTCCTTAATTGACAGTTCTTTGAGAAAGTCTATTTAGAGCATATCCAGTTGTATTTGGCCCAGCATCCATTCAATTCAACACTCCAAGTTAAGAAATAAACAGAGCCCAGCCAGTGCAGCTCAGTGGTTGAGCATCAACCTATGAACCAGGAGGTCATGGCTTGATTCCCAGTCAGGGCACATGCCTGGGTTTTGGGCTCGATCCCCAGTGTGGGGCATGCAGGAGGCAGCCAATCAATGATTCTCTCTCATCACTGATGTTTCTATCTCTCTCTCCCTCTCCCTTCCTCTCTGAAATTAAAAACAAACTTTTTTTAAAGGAAAGAAACAGAAGCAAATGATGCTGGAGTGAGAGGCAAAGCAGCCGCTGGGCTGCCTGGGCTCTGCTTCTAGGGCTGCTGCTGACTCACTGGGCACCTTGGGCAGGTCCATGCTTCAATTCCATCCCCTCCCCCCACTCAACCCCCCCCCCCCACACACACACACACACACACACACACATCTTTTGAAAGGTAGAAATGGGTTCCCTTCTAGGCAGTGTCATGAAATCTGAAATTCTGGGCCAGGCCATGGAGACACCAGCTGTGGGTGTCTTGTCAAGCTACACCAGCAGAGGGCGCCGCTGCACAGCACTTGGGGCTCTTGGGCAGAAATGACCAGCTTGGCTGCCCCAGAGGGAGAGTTTTCTGGCCATTTCCCAGCGCTGGGCTGGCAGAGTCAGACCCAGTATATGCTTGGGCTATGAAAGAGGTGCTGACCTGGAGGCTTAGGAGGAGTCTGAGGTGACAGAGTGGACCTCTGAGAGGCTTGATAAGAACCTTCCTGGGGCTTCTTGGGAGCTGACTGTGTGTATTTAGAGGGAGAGCAGCCCAGTAGAGAGGTAACCCCCCAATCTCTTCACCTGCCTTGATTCCTCAAGGCCTCAAATGGTACCAGGCTCTTTTCCACCTTGGGGTGCCAAGCTAGCCCAATGCTACGTGCTCTGCCTACACCATCTCACTGAATCCTGAGAGGCAATTCCCATTTTACAGATGAGAATATTGAGTCTCAGGGAGGTTAAGCAATTTCTCCAAAGCCACACCACCAGTAAGTGGAGGATTACAGACTCACACCTGCTGTTTGATGCCAGGGCCCAGCTCTTAACCATCACTGCCTCCTGGCCAAGACTCAGAGTGGAAGTGACTTTCCCAAAAGTCCTTGCTCCACCCCACCCCCTGTATAAATGTCCTAAGTTCTTTGCCTCAGTTTCTCTACCATCAGTGAGATGGTATTAACAATATCAACCGCTCTCCTATTCTTAGGTCCCCTGGGCAGATGCCTGCAGTCAGGGGTGCCCTGGGATGACTTCTGTCCTCGGTTCTGACAGGCTCCTGTGGGCCGAGCTGGTTCCTGTTCGCATCTGAGGACACGGCAGCCTGGCCCTGCTCAGCCTTTTCTCCTCACTGATAAGTGGGCTGGTGCTGAGGACACGTGGAGGCATGCAGGTCAGGGGACCAGGAAACCTGGCTGAAGAGATCTGGGATTGAGGGGTTCCTGTAGAAGAGGGGTGTGGGGTGGGGGTGGAGGGAGCTGTTAAGGTCACTCTAGAAGCCCCTGCTGAGTGCCTGCTGTGCACTCGCCTGCTGGGATGGAGAGAGCTTGCGATGCTGACAGGAAGAGTGGTCTCCTCCACGTGGGTTCACAGACATCAGCTGCAGGAAACCAGGAAACCTCCCACCTTCCTGGCCTGGAAGGAAGAGAGGCCAGCAGGACAGAGACACGGTCAGGAGGGCAGCCTGGGAAGGAGGTGGTGGAAGCGAGGTGGACAGAGGGGACAGCCTGAGTGACGCCAGGCGTGAAAAAGCAAGGGAGCACGGGGAGCTTCGCTTACCCAGAGCCCGCTGCTGAGGGAGAGGATGCTGAAGGCTAGGAGTCTGCTGGCAGAGGACCTCGGTCGGCACAGGAGGGCTAGGAAGTGACTCTGTGCTGCTGGGATCTGCTGGTTACCGGCGGTCCTCAGTCCCCCTGCTGCTCTGTGAGTGGATAGGGAGCCATCTCAGGGTCAGCTGCCTCTCGCCTGGACACACCATCCTGGACCACGCTGAGGTGGGCTCAGGCTCCATGCCCTGTGGGGACCTCAGGGGAAGCTGGCGTCTGTGCTGGCCCAGCCACTCAAGAGGCTGTGACCTCCCTCCCCCACTGGCCTGAGGACGGTCTCTGAATGCCCTGTGGGTGAAGGTGGGGTCGGGACTGGGACTTGGGGTATGGGGGTCAGTTACTAGAAGTATCAGTCCATTCTTTCCACTTGCTGTGGGTCTTTGGATGCACTGTTTCTTCTGGCCCCAGTTCTCCATCTATTAAAAGAAAGGCCAGACTTAAGACCCCCCACCTTGAGAGAAGAGAGAGAGGGTGCAACAAAACCATCAGCTCTGAGCCCTTGCACCCCACTGCTCTCCGCTCTAGGGTCAGCGTGAATGTGACAAAGAGCAAACACCCTGTTTCCCCTAAAGAAATAGATTTTAAAGGACTTCCAAGACATCTCACTTTTGATGCAAATACAAAGAAAAAAATTTAAAAGAATAAAATTCCCAAACCATATGAGTTAGATTTTCTCCCAGACAGACAGATTTCCTAAGTGACAAAAGCTATGCCCAAGGAGGAGGCTCAGAACCAGACTAGAATGAAGGACAAGCCCACTTGGGGTGGGGGTGGGTGGGGGTGAGGCAGAAGGAAATGGCCACTGTCCAAGCCCTGGCTCTGCAGGCAGGACTCCTGGCACCACAGCTGGGCCCCCTCCCTGCTCCCTTCATCCTGACGCCTCTCCCAACAGGGACTCTGCCCGAGGCAGACCCACCTTCTCCCCCGCAGGCCCCCCTGCCCCTTCCACCAGGGTCTCCACAGTGACTGAGGCGGCCTTACTGTCTTCCCACCCTCCTCCCCCCACTCCTTCCCCAACTTTGGGCTCCATATGACACAATGTGCTCCCTTTCCTGCCTTTATTGATGATGCCTCATAGTCTTCTGACAGTTAAAGCCTGAGGACCTACTAGGGACCAGGCGTAGAGCTGGGTGCCGGGCTCAGGCCTCCCCAGGATAGTGCTGATGCTGCCTCCGACTCCCCACCCCAACTCCAGGGCCTGCCTTGGTGGATGAACTCTCTCCGTGAATCACCAGAACTTGGCAATATATCTGGTGTCTCATACTAGAGCATGAGGGTAGCCAGTCCCCACGTGGCCCCAACGCTTCTCACCATTCATGTCCTTGTGAGGCCTCTTTCCACAGTGAATTGCAGCTGCTCTGTGTGACCAGCAGATGGTGTGGCCAACATCTAACTTGTGTGCCTTCTGAGGCTCAGCTGTAAGCAGCATTGCAGCTTCTGTGTCAGTCGCGGGGGGAGGGAGGGGGCGTCCCCATGCTGTGAGGCTGCTCGAGCCCGTGGAGAGGCCCACACTGAGGAACTGCATCCCCTTCCAACAACCAGCACCCATCGGCCAGCCATGGGAGTGAGGGGGCAGGTCTTCTGCCCCAGGCGAGCCTTCAGATGCTACAGCCCTGCCAACGCCCTGAGGCAACTTCACGAGACTCAAGCCAGAGCTACCCAGCTAAGCTGCTCCCAGATTCCTGACCCCCAAAACTATAGGAAAAAAAGGGGTTCATTTAATGTTCATCATATTCTAAACATAATGGTTGAGAGCAGGACTCAGAGGAGTTCGATAGTGTTCTCATCCTGGCTTCAGTTTTCTAGCTCTGTCTCTTAAGTTCGTCCTTTAATCAGCCTGTGCCTAGACCGTCTCACCTGTGAAGTGGGGGTGTCAGCTGTAGCTAAACAAAGTCATACTTCACTCATCAATGCAGTGAAGTGCTCAGCAGCTCGACAAACGACGACGTTAGCTCTCCCCATTGTATGGCCTGGGGCCCGACGTGTGTGTTCGTGTCCACGTCGGCACAGAGTAGCTCCTGGCCAATGCCAGCTGCGTGGACCAGAGCAAAATGCTCTTCCACTCAGCCCAGCCCTTCCCCTTCAGCTCTCTGCTCCCGGTTCGCCCTGCAGACTGCTCCTGCAAGACCTCAGTCCTGAAAAACTTGAGAGTCCTCCATCCCCACGAGCAAGTGAGGTCCCACCAGCTCCCTCGGAGGCTGGCAGGTGGCTGGGGGGCTCCCGCCCTGGATGTCACTCACACGGGAAGAGGGGCCCCACCGCGACCCAGCTTGGACTGCGCAAGGAGAGAGTGGCCCCAGTTTCGAACATACACCCAGGCACCCCCAACCCCAGTCTGCTTCTTTGAGGGAAGTGAGGGCCCAAGGATGCCAGCTCCCACCCCCAACCCCGTGGAACATGAGAGGGACCAGGCCAATCCCGAGTCCCCTCCCAGAGCACAGCCCAGGTGTCTTCCGGCCACAGCACCTCCATTTCTCCCATCACACTCCAACCCACAAGTCACCTGCCCACAGGGAAGTCGTAGACGTGCCGCCGAAATATTAGAAAGATGATTTTTCAAGAAGAAATTCTTCAGTGTCGCTGAAGTGTGACTGATTTCTCTCCCCTCCTCCTCAGCATCTGTCCCCCAGAAGAGCAGGGAGGTGAGGGTGTTCCCTGGTGAAGGAGCAGGAACCCAGCCATGAGGGGTGAGCAGGCCACAGGAAGGGGACATGGCCCAGCACCACAGGACGGCGTGGCTGTGAACGTGAGGCACACGTGCATGCCTGTTTCATCCCGGACCCAGCGTTCACAGGCTCAGGAGCGGACGGGCACACGCTGTCATTGTCCCCCGTGCTTCAGCCGCAGGGCTGTCTGCTGCGATGTGGGGCGAGCCTGCAGCCGGGGGGTCAGGCTGGGGCACCAGGAGACACGTCTACAGAGTCCAAGAAGGCAGGGCTCGACAGCCTGCTGCACCACTGTCCTCAGCCCGCTGCCCAAGCGGCAGGGAGCCTGGGAAGGGAAGGCAGAGGAGCAATAGGAAAAGCAGGGTGGGCTGGGTCCAGGCCCGCCCGGGGGCAGCAGCTGGCTCTTCCCTTGCGTGTGAAGGCTCACTGAGGGGCTGAGGCATTCAGGCCTGAGACCAGACAGAGCTGGGCACGAATCCCAGCTCACTGTGAGAGCTCACGCACACGAGGCCTGTTTCCTCGTCTGTAGAAGGGAGGTGACACCAGGATCTCCCCCTAAGGATTCTGGAGATGGTCTCCGTAAGGTGCCTGGTATATAGCAAATGCTCCATAAATGGAAGCTGTGAGCATTTCTCCAAGCATTGAATTAGTGCACCAGCTCCAACCCTTGGAGTGAAATGATTTATTTACAAACCCTGCCTCTGGTCTCGGCATCCCTCAGCTGTCCAATGGACCCTGCTCCCTCCGCCTGGGTTGGGTAGGCTACAGCAAGACCGATGGGAAGGTGTGAGCGCCGGGCCAGGCAGAATCCCCTTGTGGAGCCTCATTGGGCAGATTTTCCAGCTCAGAGAGCCAGGTGGGAGCAGCCCCTCGTGTTGGGGTCCCTTCCTGGGTGGTGTGGCTGATCACGGGCACAGCCGAGCTGCTTCCTTCTGTTCCTTGAGAAAGGCAAACCCCAGGCCTGCTGAGCCGAACGTCAGCATGGAGCCACACCGCGGCCAGCACAGCGTGTTCTTCCCTGCCCAACTCAGTGGGCTGAGAGGGGACCGGAGAGCCTGCCAGCTCTGCAGGTGTGGGCACTGTGGCGGGGAGGAAAGGCCAGAAGGCTCTGGTCCCAGGGCAGCTGAGCTCTGGGAGCCTTCTGTCCAGCCATCTTGGCCCTCACTGATCAGCAGGGGCTGGGGACTCAACTCTCGCTGCTGCCGGCTTTGGGTCCTTACAGTGTGGCGGCACCGGGCCTGGGCACCTGCCCTGTGGCCTCTTGGCCACCCGCAGAGAGTCAGCAGGCCCCCGGCTGGTGTGCAGCTTCTCCTCAGGGGTTCTGTAGTAAGGCATGAATCCTGAGTCACATAGGGTGTGGCCACTGGGGGCAGCATTGCTTGAGAAAGTGATGTCCAGGCTGTTGTCATGGGAGTGCCCTGCAGAGACCAGCAGGATGGTGCAGCAGATGGGTGAGGACTCAGAGACCGGGTCCAGGCCTGCCGAGGCAGCCTGGTCAGAGGAGACAAGGTGGTTAGCCAGGCTCCCAGGTTCAGTCCAGACCCAGGACTGGCCTGTGCCTGCACCCCCAGGGGGCGGTAGGGGAAGGGCCCATCCCACACTGGAGATCACTCGCCCCTCCAGGACTCCCAGCTAGAAGGGGTGTGTCTGGGATTAGAGCCCCTCATCCTGCCCCCTCCATCTCTGCAGTCATGGGCACAGTGCCCCGCTTCATGGTGCTGGAGGTGGCCGTTAGTAACAAGGCACGGGCTTGGGGGTCAAATCTCAGGTTTGTTCTTGGTAGCAACTGTGCCCTTGGCCAAGTCACTTAGCTTCTTTTAGACTCATTTTTCTCATCCATAAAATGGGAATAATAATCAGAATTATCTCATCAGACTGTTATTAGGATAAGTGAGGTGATACATATGAAGTGTTTGGGTGCCTAGCAAGCCATAAGGGCTACACAGATGCCTCTGTAGGGGAGCACCAGCTAAGCCTGGTGTCACAGTCACATTATTATGTGTAATTTGCACAGTGGCTCTGTGGCTGGCTACTACTTTATCTTCATTTGACAAGGAAACTGAGACTCGCCAGGCTCTAACACATTCCTCAGGCCACTGTACTATTAAGTGGCAGAACTGGGACTGAGTGAGGTAGTCTGCCTCGAGCCCCTGTCTTAACCAAGGCCACACTGCTCCAGGAGCCCTAGCAACCCTGGGGGTGGGGCGCTGGCCTGGCCTCTTGGGGCCTGAGCCCTGGGACAGAGGTCTGAAGGAGGCCAGGGGCCCAGGGCTGCTCCCCACACCCTTCTGTGGCTTCTCACGGAGCCTTACGCACTCACAGAGCTCCCGCTGATGACTGTCCTGTGGAAGCAGCCAGCCCGCGCCTCCCTTCCGGTGGGCGGGTCTTGGAAGGCCCTAGAAGAAAGGCTGGGAAAATTCTCCTCTTTGGAGCGGTAGTAAGGGAAGAGCCCACCAGGTGGTTCAGAGTCCTCCCAGGATGGCGCCTCCCTGGTACTCCAGGCTCCTCCTCGGTCCCTCCCAACCTCTGGCTGCAGGGCCGACTCCTCAGTCAGGAGCTGCCCATAGGTGCGGAAGAAGGGCAGGTACTCCAAGTTCACCAGGGGCCCATGGGAGCGGCCAGAGTTGCTGATGGGCTCACTGCCCGTTAAACTGGAGGCCTGCTGTTGCTGGGACAGAAGCCCCGAGTCCTCCTCCTTCTCCAGGAAGTTCTGAGAGGACGAGGCTCCAGGCTCATCCTCGAAGCTCTGCTGGGACGTCTGGGAAGAGAAGGGTACTCCATCTGTTACTGCACCCCAACTTCTCCAGAGACCCTGAAGGCCAGGGGGGTCTTTCCAAGTGCAAACCTGAGTGTGGCTCTCCTTTAAAACCCAGCTGATGGCTTCCAGCCAGGGATAGGTTACCCATGAGCCTGCCAGCACCTGCAACCTCCTCTTACATCCTCTCTCCCTGCTTGCTCCACTCGGGACACGCTGGCCTTCCTATCGGTCCTCAGTCACACCACGCTGGTCCTGTTTGAAAGCCTGTGCCCAATCTGCTCTCCCATCAGCTCAGAGAAGCCTTCCCAGTCCCCACTCTCCACCCTGTGACTGCAGATCACTTGGCCCTTCACTTGCTCCCACACTGAAAAGTTCTCGGTCTGTGGCCTTCATACTGCGTGTATGCAGTGGTCTTGTCTGTCTGGTGCTCCTGGCTCGTCGTAGGCACTCAGTTGTAGTTTTCCAACAAATGATTGGTCTAATCTGCCAATTCTCAGCCCATCTCCTATTCCAGTGGTCGCCAGCCTTTCAGACCTCACGGACCACCAGTGGTCTGCGGAACCCCGATTGGCGACCATTCCCTTCACTCTGTTTGGTCTGGCCACACAGACCTTCAACATGCCAAGCAGACTCCCAACACAGGGCCTTTGCACATGCTGATGCTCCTCCCTGAAATCTCTTCTCTCTCCTTTTCCCTTTATGACAACTCCTTCAGCTCTTGGCTCAAGGTCGCTTCCGTGGTGTAGCTGCATCACAATGTATTATTGATGCCCACCACCCTCACCCACAGCAGCCATTCCTCCCCTGTGAAGCGTTCATAGGCATGATGATTAGTGTCTCTTATCCCCCAGTTATAAATTCCACCGAGGCCAAGTCTGTCTGTCTTCTGTATCCTCAGGGCCTATAACAGCCCTGGCATGCAGTAGATACCAAACACTGGAAGAAAGGTCGAGGGAGGGAAGGAGGCCAGGAGCAAAGTATTTGCCAGACTCAATGTCGATGGGAGGGAGAGGCCGTGTCTTGGGGGGAGAAAGGGATGGAAATAAGGAAGTACTTCCTAGGCCCAGTGGGGATAGAGGCCCAGAACACTGGCTGTAGAAAAGCCAGTGCATTCTCCACCTTTGCCTGTCCGGCCAGACCCAGAGCCCCTGGTACACATGGTGGACTCTGCATCCCATAGAACTATTGTGGTCTGGCCCCAGCTTCTTGATCCCTGCTGGAGCCTCTGGACCTTAAGTGCCCTCCTCCACCATATGTGTTCCTAACTCCTTGAGGTCACCTCAGTCCCAATCTTAAATCCTAACCTGCAGTAAGTCCCAACCTGTGCTCCCACGGGCTGCAAGCTCCTGGAGAGCAGGGACCAGGCCCCGCACCTGAGTCCCAGGGCCCAGCTCAGGCCAACTTGCTGAGTTTCTGCCAATCCCCTTAAGGTTTCCCTTAGGCGGCCTATGAGGACGGACTTGCCTTTCCAGCTTTGCTGTAGTGAGGACACAGGACAGGCTGGTGCAGCGCTAGGGTTTGAGCCCACGTCTGCCCTGCTCCAAAGCCCGGGCCCTTTTCACTGTGATTTACACGGACTGTGGGCTGAACCGTGTCCTTCACAGATTATCGAAGCCCTGACCCCTGGTATTTGTGTGTGTGATGTCATTTGGAAACTGGGTCCTTGCAGATGTAATCAAGTTCAGATGAGGTCAGACCGGGGTTGAGTGGACCTTAAATCCAGTGACTGTGCGCTTACAAGGCCCGGGAAATCTGGACACAGACACAGGGACGATGTTATGTGACAATGGAGGCAGATCAGAGTGATGTTGCCTCCAGCCAAGAACTGCGAGGACCGCCAGCCACCACCACAGGCGGGGAGCGAGGCCAGGAGCAGGGTCCCCCTCTGGGCTCCCGAGGAGGAGCCCTGCCCACACCTGGTTTGGGGCTGTGGCCTTCAGATCTGTGAGAATGAATCTGTGCTAACACCCCCTTGTGGGGCCTTGTTACTGCAGCCTTAGGACCTCACAGGCTGGTTGGCCGCCCTGTGGCTGACGGGATTCAGCACAAGGTGAGGATGGCAGGGCTCTCCCAGCCCCACCAGTGGGCAGCTTGTGGGGAGAGACCCATTGCCATGACTGCGGTCCCGTGTGGGCTGGGCAGGCTAGGCCTTACCCTTCCTGCCATCAGTGGTGCTGGCCCAGGGCAGCCCCTGGGCTGGGCCAGTGGCTCCCTCACACCTCAGTCTTCCCCGCCTGGGCCCTGGCTCCACTTCACCAGCGAGTCCTGGATGGAATGGGCCAGATGTGCCTCCATCAACTCCCCAGGCGCTCAATGCCACTCATGTTGCTCCTGAGACACGGCCTCCAGGTCCGCTCTGGGGTCAGCGATAGTCCCGAGGCAACACGATCAAGCCTAAGCTAACTCTGGCTGAAAAGACCAGGCCTCTCCCCCATGCCCCACCCTCCTGGACTTCTCTTCTGCTCGGCCAGTCAGAGAAGATTCCAGCATGAAGTCACAAAACCTGCTGTTGGGCAAGAAAGTCAGATGGCTCCGTTACCATGGAGGCCACTGCCCAAACACCCAGTGCATCTGTGATCACCACCTGCCTCTAATTCATCCTAATCCAGGTCTCCCCCAAGACTCCTGGAGACAAAGGGAAGGCAGACGTCTCTGGAACCAGATCAGTTCTCCCGAAGGGGCGAGTGGGCTCCCTGGGACCTGCACCCAGACACCAGCGGAGGGCCCCAGGGCCTTCTGGGAAGGTGAGGGGGTGGCTCCATGGGTCCTTCTGCTACCCTGGGCTCCTTACCTGGTGCCTCAGTTTCCTCGGGGCTGGTCTCTGCTCTTGTCATTCAGCGTCAGTGGCCTCTCCTGTGGTTCTTCCCAGGCATCCTGAGCCCGAAGTGGGACAGTCACAGGACTGGTTACGCCGAACGCCGGCTTTCTCCTCCACTGCTGCGTCTCTCCCAGGTCTGGCGCTCCGCTCCTGCTCAGCGGGACGCGACCTCCAAAAATGCCACACGAAGTCCTGGCTGCAGACTTCAGGTCAGGAGGGGGCACCGCTGTTCTGCCAGCGTGCAGGTCGGAGAGTGAGCCTCAGGTCTCGGAGAGCCGGAGGTGAGGCCTAGAGTCCATCTTTAGCTTCCAGATTATTAGCCCCAAGTAAAGAGGAGGTACAGTAAGCCCTTGATTTTGTGGACCTCAATGTAACAGACTTCGGATTTATATCATATGTGAAAATTAACACCCGTTAATTTTAAAATGCTTTAAACTGGATTTGCTTATAATTAAATTAACAGGTTATTTTTCTGTTATTAATTCACTGTTATTTTTAAGAAGTTTTAGCAGATAGGCAGGATGTTGGAAAAACACTGTAGTAATTTTGTTGACGCAAATAAATATTACATAGCTGCCGCTGGAGTCTACATATTTAAATCCAAGAGTCAGTGCTCATAAACAATGTTCGGTGAATGATTAACTGGCGATCCCACCCCATCACGAGGGCTGATTGGTTCTGTTGTCACGTGGCATGACTTTCTGCAGCAGTTTTACCACGTGCTATCAATGTTCCCACATGCGCGGAGTCACATCCCACCCCCACCCCCCACCCCGTGTGCATTTGTTTACTCCCAATGACTGGTGAATGCACACATTTACTAAACCTACTCAGTATAAATTTAAAATTACTGTAATACATATAGAAAACTTTCTGTGAAATTAAACTTTTCATAATACTTAATTTTAATTACACAAACTAGTAAAAACACGTTAACAAGTTTGTCAATTTTTTAACATATGTATTTAGAAAACCTACTTTATTACATAATGGACTTTGGGCTTTAATGGACACCCCCTCGCCTGAATCAGTCTGTTATATTGAGGTTTTACTGTAGTGAGGCTTAACGAGGTTAAGGATTCGTTGAGGAATAAATGGCCAGGAGTAAAATAGCAGAGCTGCAATTCAAATTTAGGCAACCAGCCTCTGAAGCTGAAGTACTTAATTACTTTGCCATTGAAAAATGGCTTTAGCCCGGCTGGTGTGGCTAAGTGGTTGAGTGTTGACATATGAACCAGGAGGTCACGGTTGATTCCCCATTAGGGCACATGCCCAACTTGTGGGCTCTATCCCCAGTAGGGGGCGTGCAGGAGGCAGCCAATCAATTATTCTCTCACTGACATTCCTATCTCTCTCTCCCTCTTCCTTCCTCTCTGAAATCGATAAAAACATATCTTTTTTTTAAAATAAAGAAAATGAGTTTAGGTGACACACAGGTGAACAGTTTTCATTTTTAACAGCAAATATATTTAATAGAATGTATATTAGAAAAAATATAATTATTGCATCACAGCCATGATTTTACAGATATTTTTTCTTGGGACAAGGGTAAAGTGGATTTCTTTTTCAGTAAAAGATGAATTTTGTAAATACCTATCACGAGGTGTAATCAGATACGGTCAGACCATACAGGACACTGGTTTGGTGACGTTCCTGGCTGGCCTCTGTGGTTGTGTATCTGTGGACGTAGGTGAATTTTACACTGAATTTTATGTAAAGGGAACCATTCACCACAACTTGCTGTCTCCAGTCCACAGCAGGTGTTAGCTTTTGCCCTTCTCCTCACTAATAGAAGCTAAAGCCAGCCCCTCAGGCCTTTCTGTCGGGCGGATGGTCTTTACCTGCGAGAAGTTTCAGGTGACTTTCAGGGAGCCATCTCCCCAAGCCGCTGCGCAAGTCCAGGTCCCGGGGTTTCCTAGCAAGCCCTCAGAGACCCCGGCCAGCATAGCGCCCTGGAGAAAATGCACCTCGTTCACCTGTCAGCGGGGCTCACTCAAGCTGGGGCTCAAGCATTTGCTGGGCAGAACCCCGACCCTTGCGTCCCTGTCCCCTGGGCTCCAGGCATGGGCCTTCCATGGCTCTACCCAATCCTCACTGGGCCCTCACACCCATGGACCAGTGGGTATGACTGGGCTCAGGGTTGCAGAATGTGGAGCCAGGACTCAGCACCAGGACCCTTTAAATGTACCCCACAGTAGGCAGGGGCGGGGATTCGGGGCGCCATTCTGGAGATGAGGTCAGTGTGGCTGAGGGTCCTGCTTTAGTCCCTGCTGTGCAGGAGGAGAGACCACTGTCTAGATGGGGAGGGACAGCAGGCCCAGCACGCCTCACCTCCCATCTCTGCCACAGGGACCACCTGCCTGTCCTGGCAGAAGCCAGTGAGGTCAGTGAGGGCAGGAGCTTCAGAACTCAGGCTGTCCCGGGCTTCCAGGGCACGTGCTCCCTGCACTGCCCAGTCCAGTTGGAGAAAGCAGAGATTCTTGAAGGCTGGAGTGGTCAGGGAAGGCTGCCTGTAGGAGGCAGGAGGGCTCAGACCTCCAGGTCTGAGGGACAAATGCCCCTGGAAAAGGCAGCCGAGGGAACAGCTGGGACAACACCCAGGGTGCAGAGGGAAGTCGGACTAAAACCTGGAACTCAGCTACAGGAAGATTCTCTCCCGGCAGCCAACTTGGTTTCCTTTGTTGGACAAAACCTCCACTACGTTTGTGCCTCTGCTGGTCAAGACGGCCCTTGGCGTGTCTGAGTGACACACTTACCACCGGAAGCAGCTCTCTGGGAGAAGCGGTGCCTGGTGCCTTGGGCCACGAGCCATGAGTCACTCGCTCAGGTCCACCCAGAGGTAGACCCCTCCTCACTCTCCCACGTGCTCCCAGTGGCACCTTCCCTCCCTTCGTTTCTCACTTTCTATTGTTTTCCAGGGAAAGCTCCAATAAACTCTGATTCTAAATCTCCTCAGAGCAGGAGCAAGCCGAGGGTTCTGCAGGTAACACCACCCGGGGATTCTTCCTTAAAGGACTGATGATGTGTTCAACTTGCCCTTCTGCCAGGACACCAGAAGCTGCTCACCACCCCCGCTGCCAATTCACATAAGAAGTCTGCAGTGTCAGGCAAACGATGCACTTAAAAGTGCTGTCTGCTTTTCATGCTGGCAAATCAAAGACACACTTTTAAGGATAGCAGTCACAGTCACGGACAGTGTTACTGGGCGGGGGTGAGGGGGAGTGTCTTACAGCTCTTACCCGAGCCCCCACTCCGATCCTGACATCTCTTGCAGTTAGAGGATGCCATTTGGATCCCTCACGCAGGCCCTCCATGTCGCCGATGAACATCTGTGGGCTCTAAGATGTTTATAACAGGCAGACCTTCCTTCTCGGGGATCCACTTGGGACCCTGCCCCCCAGCCACTCTCATTCTGGCGCCTAACACTCTGATCCTGGGCAGCCCTTTCAGCTGACCCTGACCTTCAGACACTCCCTGCCAACCCAACCTGCTGCCTGGGCTCTCTTTCTAAATTCTGATTCTCTCTCGTCACTTCCTTGCTCAAACCCTTTGGTTGCTCCCTCTTGCTTGGGTCTGGCATTCTAGGTCTTTCCCAATCCATCTGCCCCTCTCCATTGCTGGAAGCCAGCTCCCCCGGGGGGGCCTGGACTTGGACTTGCCGTGCAACCAACACACCCAGCACGCCCCACTCTGTGCCTTCTCTCAGACGGTAGCCCCTCTCCCACCAAGCCGGCCAGCAGCCTTCCTCCTAGAACCTGCCCGGTGGCTCTTAGTCTGCTGGGGCTGCCGTACACAATGCCACAGACGGGGGCTTACACACCACGTTTACGTTCTCAGTCCTAGAGCCGGACGTCTGAGACCAGGTGTCAGCAGGGCTGGTTTCTTTTGAGGCTTCTCTCCTTGGCTTATAGATGGCTGTCTTGTCCCTTTGCCTTCACATGACTGACCTCTGCATGTGTCTGCTATAAGGACACCTTCATATTAGATTAGTGCCCATCCTAATAACCTAATTTTACCTTAATTACTGCTTTAAAAGCTTCATCTCCAAGTGGGATTAATTCTGAGGTACTAAGGGTTAGTGCTCTAATGTGAATTTGGGGGACACAATTCCGCTCATAATGGGCTCAAGACGTTTTCTGCCCCCTTTCTCAGACTGTGTTACAGAGCGAATGGCTGTGATCTCGGGGCAGGAACAAGGCCACCTGCTTCTTTTTTTTTTTTTTTTTAATATATTTTTTATTGATTAAGATATTACATATGTGTCCTTGTCCCCACGTTACCCTCTACCCCCCCCCCGCTCATGCCCTCTCCCCCCGTTGTCCATGTCCATTGATTAGGCCTATATGCT